TCAAAACGAATTGTAAAACAAGGAATAACCCACACTAAATCCTGCAATTGGTTGTTTCAAAATACACAACCATGTATTCAATTGGGACACAAAGCCTTAAAGAAAACGAGTCCTCAAACACAAACTTGAAGGAAATAGCTGTCTGTTGTAATGATAGTCTAAATGCAGCCATGTTCCACCATAATGCCTTTACTTCCGCTCGTTAAATGTTTAATTTCTGCCAAGAACATGTTCTTTGAGACAACTAGGTTTTTACAAAACTAGAAGTAAGAAGTAAAATGAGACAATTATTGCGCCCGGCGCCTTGTTAGGAAATAAATACAAATTGCTTTGAGGGATGTACAGAGGATTACAAGAAAGTTGCGTCCTGTTACTACACCTTTAATGGTAGCGCGATATGTTGGGTTTTACATTTTGATATGTCGCCATGCCAATTGAATGCTAAGCGCATGTTTAAAGACAAGTTATTTACCCTCACATTGATTACGACATAGTGTCAGTATGGAAGTTTTGCAGGAAAACAAGGTTTTCCTAAAATGACCACCAACCTTCCAGACTTCAAGAAGGAGTAATAATAATATGTAGACTCTAAAGACACTTTTGATCAGGGTATCTCTGGCAAATGAACAGTCACTTGTCACTAAATATCCACTCCCAAGTGACACGTTGTTTATTGGGTTTGTATCGGTTGATTACTCAGTTCACTCCGGTGAGGAATTGCTGGCGAAGCCATATGACGCTCCAATCGAAAACAGCAATGGCTAACCTGTATCAAAGCAAATTGCAAAGTGCGGAACAACTCCAACCAAAATCTGCAATTGCTTTGTCTCAAAATACACGGGAATGTATGAAATTGGAACAAAAGTTATAAAGATCACAGGAGTCTCAACGCATGCAGGCTTAAAGGAAATAGCTGTCTGTTGTAATGATAGTCTACGACTGGGTTCCCATACCTAGTTCTATGTAACAGGATCGATCAAACTCCGAGGAGTTTCTTGCTAAATTGCTTTCAGCTTTGATGATGACATTAATATCTATATATTTTTCCTTAATGCTGCACTGAGGTAACGGCCACATTACTTAATATGAATACAGAAAAGGGGGAGACAACACCAACGACATGAACAACATAAAAACTACATTAACACAGAGAACCCCGACCTCCGCAAAAA